GATATGCATTGAGTTGGCGCCACCCAGCAGCATCGCATCGGTTCTGGAGAAGATTCAGATGAGAAAGGAATCATCCAAGAATTTTTGGTAGGTTTTTCAGTTACCTAAGGATTTGAAATCAACAATAATGAGCAAATATATTTCTAGGAACTGAATTGTGGTGCCAGGAAATGGGTCTGGATATTTCTACAGCAGCTTTTGGGATGTTTCCGTTCTGCTAAAAATAGCTGAGGAAGTTAACGCTAGTTTTGTTAAAAGACCTGTTTCACATTTTACGGCACATAGAGCTTTATAGCATCAAACATATCTGGTGGCCCAAGCTCACACCTCATCGTTTATGGTTATATATATATATACACTTATAGCTGCTTTTTCCCATTTTTTTCCCCATTCATTTCTGCATTTACATCTCCCATTAATTTAAGCTGCTTATTTGTTTTCCATCTCTTTAACCTATCTATTGATATCAGCTCTTTCCTATTTACCTGCCCATCAGGGTGTAAATTAAGTGAACCTAATTAAAAATGGAAGAAACAAAAGGTGGGAATCAGAACTAGTCCACTGAGCAATGAAAGAAGTTGATCCAGGCTATCAGTATCTTCATTTTACATTAGATTTATGGGTGAATCCATGTGCCTACACCTGGTTGGTACAGAAAAGCGCCAACACTAGGTAGGGAATATTAAGAAATGCTAGCTCGTGGTACAATTATTTATTATTTAATATTATTATTTTGAATTCAATTCAGTTCTGTTTATTTACATAGCATAAATTCGCAATAAATGTCATCTCAAGGCACTTTACAGAGACAATTCAACCACATCATGCAGTCAGATTGGTTCAAAGTTTTCCATCTAAGGAAAACAAGCTGAGTGCATCGACACAGACTTGTTAGTTACCATAATATTTATGTTTTAAAACATTAAAGATTCCAACTTTTAATAATGAATAGCCTTAGTTATGGTGTACAGAAATGTTTTAAGTTGCTACTAATGGAAAAGAGCCACTAGAATCTACTGGGAGCTAAAGGGTCACATCCTGATGTCAGATATGACAGGCTAGGTCTGGGCAAATTAACATAGATAAAAAAAATAAATAAATTGAACTTTATATTGATCTCATATCGAACTCACAACCTCAGTATTCCAAGCCCTTTGCCCTAACCAATTGGCCGCCACTTCCCACATTAACCATATCAAATCAATAGAAAATGCATTTTATAGAATCATCTATAATATCATTGAACTCTGATTGAGACCCATGGCATTCTGGGAGATGTAGGCAGAGGAAAAGACTTAGCCTCTCACCCCTGCTAGGCCAAGCTGGTAGTAGGGTTCACCTCATCTTAAAGGTTATTTTTTTATATGGTTTTAAGTACAATTTAAGTTCCTCCTTTTCCCCCTGCTTATATTTTAAAATGCCTGATCATTGATTGTATGAACAAAATGAAGCATGGTAATACTTTAATTTAGGGGAAACAGAAATGGTATTAGCAGATGTAAACCTCTATGTTTTATTTCAACAGGTGCAAGGTTGGACGGGTTGAGTGGTAAGTATGGTCATAATTTAATATGCTTGTGAAGAAAAGGACTTTTGCAATGATGCCACTGAGCTGAATCTAATAAAAACAGTAGAAATCTGATTTTTAAAACATTTAATTTTCTTTTCGCTGAAAGTTTTTTTTCCCCCTTTTTAAGAAAAGCTTAATAGACACAAAGATTCAATAGTACTTTGTTTTGTGGGCCTACTGTATGAAAACATAACTGACCTGATTTTTTTAACTTTTTTTTTATTTTAGTGTGATTGATCTCAAGAAGCGTCTGAGCGAGGCTAGTGAGATCAAGATAAACCTTGAAACGGACGCATCAGGACTCAACACTGAACCTCCAGCCTTGGAAACAGAAAAACATCTGATGCCATGTGAGGAGGATGCTGCTTCTGCTGCCCCAGCAGCCATCACTCAATCTGCAATGCCTGAAACTAAATCAGAGCTCAGCAACAAACTACCTGAACCTCCTAAAGCTGAAATCACCTCAACATCAGAAGAAAGTCAACCCTGTGAGAACAGTCTCATTGTAGAAGGTAAGTCTGTCTCTAATCTAACGGTTTGTGTGACGCTTTGAGAATT